TTCCTGGGGTCCTGAGGAGAAGGGGTTCCCCCTCTGCTCTTCCTGGGGTCCTGAGGAGAAGGGGTTCCCCCTCTGCTCTTCCTGGGGTCCTGAGGCGCTCACCTCCTGGGGATGCCCGTGGCCTTAGCATGTGTGGAGGAAGGTGAGGCCCTCAGCCCCCAGCCCTACCCTGTTCTTGGAGGCTGGGACACCTGGAGAAGTGCCCAGGGCCAGCCCCCTTTCTGTGGTCTCCTAAAACAGCCCACACAGGTGTACCACTTACCAGTCTTTAGCTATCTAATCCCACCCGCCCACATCTGCCCTTGTCCTCTGGGACTGGGTAGAGCTGGAACCAGCTCAGTGTTCCCTCCTGGCTGGCCAGGGTTCCTGCTGGACTTCATCTCCTGCCCTGTCATTAAAGGCTTCACCTCTGCTGCTGCGGTCACCATTGGCTTTGGACAGATCAAGGTAGGCCCAGCATCCACTTGGGGCACAGGGTGAGTGGGAGCAGGACCAAAGCCAGTCCCCAGGCTCCCAGCCAGACGTCTTGCTGTTTGAGACTGTGTATTCTCTGCGGGTCAGGAAGTGTGCAGCATTCTCATGGGTTCCCAATCAATAAAATGACCCTCCTGGGGAGATGCTGAGTGACGGTACCTTTTTACAGCAGTGACGTGGGGAACTGGTCACTGTGCGCACCGCTCGTGCTGAGTGTCTGCGCCCATGTGCCTGGCTGGCTTCACGGTGGTTCTTACCAGCTGCTGGGAAAGATTATATTGCCTTGTTATTATTTATTTTGAGACAGAGTCTTACTTTGTCACCTTGGGTAGAGTGCTGTGGTGTCATAGCTCATAGCAACCTCAAACTCTTGCCTCAGCCTCCCGAGTACATGGGAAAACAGGTGAACACCAAAATGAAAGGCTATTTGTTTGCTGTAGTTGCCATTGTAGTTTGGCAGGCCTGGGCTGGATTCGAACCTCCAACTCAGGTGTATGTGGCTGATGCCTTAGCCACTTGAGCTAAAGGCGCCGAGCCCAATTTAATATTTTTTAAACGTCATACTTTTTATGTTTCTATATGAAACAAAGTACATCTATAAGAAGTACTAAAATCAATGGTCACTGGCTAAGGATATAATTTATTGTCTTTTTACTGGGCGGTAAATCCCTCGAGGGCGGGGGCTGTTATGCTGCTGCCCATGCTGCTGGGTGCTGTGCTAGGTGCTACCTAGGTAAGCGCCCTGCAGGGTGTAACAGAGACTGTATGAAATAAACAGCAGACAAACTTTGCACTCTTCCTGTGAGCAGGGCACTTGGTAAAACACTCTCTGTGTGTTTAATCCTCACTGCACCCCTGGAAGTGAGGTTTGTCATTATCTTCATTTTAGAGAAGTGCTAACTTAGGTGTGGGGGAATGTGATTGACTCAGGGGATAGTCCATCCTTTATTCTGGAAACAGTCTTCTTTTTTACAGTCAAGAATGTTCTTTTAGGCTGGGTATGGTTGCTCACACCTGTGATCTCAGCACTCTGGGAGGCTGAGGTGGGAAGGATCCTTTGAGTTTAGGAGTTCAAGACCAGCCTGAGCAAGAGTGAGACCCTGTCTCTACTAAAATTAGAAAAACTAGCCGGGTATGGTGGTTCACGCCTGTAATCCTCCTCTCTGGGAGGCCAAGGCAGGTGGGTTGCTGGAGCTCAGGAGTTTGAGACCAGCCTGAGCCAGAGTGAGACCCCATCTCTTAAAAAAAAAACGTGCCAGGAATTGTGGCAGATGCCTGTAGTCACAGCTACATGGTAGGCTAAGGTAAAAGAATCACTTGAGCCCAAGACTTTGAAGTTGCTGTGAGCTATGATGCTATGGCACTCTACCCAGGGTGACAAAGTGAGACTCTGTCTAAAAATAAACAAAAAAAGAATATTAAAGCCAGGTGTGGTGGCTCACACTTATAATCCTAGTGCTCTAGGAGGCCATGGCAGGTGGACTGCCTGAGTTCACAGGTTGGAGATCAGCCTGAGCCAGAGCAAGACCTCATCTCTAAAAATAGCTGGGTGTTGTGGTGGGTGCCTGTAGTCCCACCTACTTGGGAGGCTAAGGCAAGGGAATCACTTGAGCCCAAGAGTTTGAGATTGCTATGAGCTATGATACCACGACACTCTAGTGAGAGCAACCATATAAAACTCTGTCTCAAAAAAAAAA